TCTAGTGCTGTCCTATTTTGTTGAACTGATTTTTTCGATGTATGTACATTGACCAGTTGGGTTCGCTGACCCTATTCGATGGAATAGACCCGACTAGTTGATCGATAGTACATTATCTTTATGCCATTTTCGCACTTTCTGCAACATCGTTCGATCGAGATGAGCTCATTAAAAGCACTGGGATGCGACAACGTTGGCATTGGTAATCCTTACGGCACCACCTCGGCCAAAACAAATTAGTAACAGTTCAAGCACGTTGACTGCGGTCGAGCATTATTGTGTCGTTATGAAATGAATAATACATGAACGTTACTGGGATGGAATACAATAACAATTCTAAGAGCCGCTGGATGTTTCTCTGATGTTACTCGTACTTTTGTCTCAACTTCTCTATAAGTGTAATTCCAAAATACACAGAGGAAGAATGCCCAGAGCATACACCTGAGGTTTGAGTTGTTGGGTTGGGGGTTTTTTGCGGAGGAGTTTTACGCCTCCCTCAACACCATTTAGATTAAACAAGAGTCTGGCTTCAGTCATGATAATACGCTCTATGAGAAAGATAACGATATGCCTGACTACAACACTGCACACGACGATGAAAGAAGAGTTAACAGGACAAAGGAATGAACAATAACGAGGAAGTATATTTCACACAACCACGTCTAGCCATTATTGTATAATTGAGTTTTATTGCTGTGGCGTAGTGGACCTGGAAGAACTCACTTGTCTGTTTTAGTTTCTTAATAATGAGAAGCACATCAGCACAACGGCCATTTATAAGTGGGTATTGGGGGGGGGGTGTTTTGGTTTTTGGGTGTTTTTTGTAAGTGTTTTAAGGCGCTCACAACTGCATAAGGTCAAATGAGCGCGCGGGACACATTAAATTTTTTCAGTTGGTAAGAAATTTTGAATTTTGCCCGGGCGGCGGTAGAAGCATACTCTAATCGATTTTAGACCACCTCCGAGATTTTTCGTCCTTTTCCGAGAAGGCTAGATGTAGATCTTTCCTACCAAATGACCAGGGGTGTGGCTGAAAGACAGCATAAGAAGAAGCCAAAGAGAAGCAGTAGAAAGGCTGCAGAAAGAGTCAGGAGCCCAGAAGAGGGGTCAAAGGAGGTGAGGGGGTGGGGGGAAAAAGAGGAGACGAAAGCAGACGACAGAACATTTCTAAAGAGCAGGAAAGGAGGTGAAAGTAGACAATTTTAGAGAAGATTTTTTTAGGCCGAATTCGAACCCGAGACCTTAGAATGAAAGGCGAACACCTTAACCTCTAGGCCACGAGAGCCCCCATGTATATGTGTAACGTGAACTGATAAAGGAGAATGGACGAACTATAAAAAGTTTTAAACTTTACCTAGCTGACCTTCACCGAACTCTAGTAAATAAACAATATGACAGAGAGCAAATGGATAGGAGACCAATCAGCTTCTGGCAGAAATCTTTTCAAGATCCTATTTAACGGACATCACTCGGATGACACCGGATTGTGTATAACAACACGTTGTTCCCTTCCGCACTGGGGGACTATACAAATAGTTTTATTTCTAAAATTACCTTTACTAGGAAGACTGAGCTGTGTTGTGTTCATTTTAAATGTTCTGAAACTGCTTTTTAAGGCGGTGGGGGAAGGGGGGGGGCACATCTTACGTTAATGGCTTGACAGCGGGCTTAGTCGCAGATGTGCGTTAAACAGAACAATACGCGAAGAAGAATTAAGTTATGGAAAACGATAATGCTGCTTTGAGAAAACAGGTTGTCCCATTTCCTTTCACGAATGAATTTCTTAAGACGGTAATCTACGCTTACTCCCATTAAGACATACATTTTCTTATCAATAGTATACTAGATATAGTATTTGCCTGGAGCAAATGCTATAGCTTTTCAAACAGAGAAAAACAGTTATGAACTGCGGGCATGGTGGCGTCGATAGGTTAGTGGCACAGAATTCTACACTTATAGAAGCGGAACTCCCTCTTCGCGATCGCCGATTCGCTGTGAGGAATTGAAACTAAAACATGGCGGCCAGTTGAGGGCACCTTTGGCTGCGCCGCACAGCGAGGCTTCGCGTTGCTATGCACGCTGATGCTAGTG